GCAACAGAATAACGACAAACACGCAGACACACAAAAAGAAAGGGACAAACAAAGAGAAAGAGACAGACAAAAAACAAAGAGACAAGCGAAGAATAGATAGAAGAAACATGCTGACGCGGAACTGCTCGTCGTCTCCTTATTTCTTCCTTCACGTCCTTCGGTGCCTCCTACAAGCACCCCCTTAACCCGAAACCTTAAGCGCAAGACCTTGACGACTGGTAGTAGTTGTGCCATCTTGGTTTCAGGGTTTAGGAATCATCTGGGTGTCCCCGATAGCCACTTCAAAGGTGCTTTGAGGGTCCCCAATACTCTTGGTGGTCCCCCTCATCATTTGGGGACCCCTTTGATGCCATTAAGGGGCCTCTGCGCCCTTGGGAGCCCTGCTGTCGGATGGGACCCCGTATGGCATTGGGGAGACCCCCGTGGCATTCGTGGCCCCCCTTTGGCTGTTGCGGCCTCCTATATGCCATTTGGAGCCCCTAAGGCGGCAGTGCCTCTTTGTTAGCCGCCTTGCCGATTGCAGTATCATATCGGGGGCTTCTTGTGCTGCTGAGGAGGCCACAGGGTCTGGAGATGATGCTGCTACGAAGGCCTCTCCATCTCCCCTAAGAAGCAGCAGCAACAGCATTTGTAGCAGCAGCAGCAGCAGCAGCAACGGGGGCAGGGAGGTGTGCGGTCCCCAGCGCGAAGACAACGCACACAAAGGCACAAAAGGATTCCTCAAACGTGTTGCGACCGCTGTTGCTGCCCTTGCTATTGTTGTTGTTGCTGCGTGCTGGGCAGACGCAAGAAAAGATTCACCGAGCTGCAGGGAGGCCGAGTTGCTCCCCCCCCATAGCAGAAGGGCGGAGAGGGAAGGAGCTCCCGATTGAGTTGTTCTTACTGCCGCTTCTGTTGCTGCTACTGCTGTAGCTCTTGTTGCTGCAGAAGGCCCTTCTTCTTTGAAATGGCGGCACTGTTATTAGGGGCCAACGACCCGCCGTAGTAGCAAAGGCATGAGCGAGCTGCTGCTGCAGCGGGGTGTGCAAGCAGACAACAGCAAGCAGCAGCAGCAGACGGCACTGAAGACAGCAACATATGCTGCGGCTTGTAGCATAGCGTCCCGCCTTCAAACATGCGAGTACCTGGAGATACAACCACCTGCAGTGAGCGTATTCACAGCTCATATAGGGCGGCGGGACAGCTATCCTATAGAGTAAGTTAGAAAAAAGGGTAGCATTCGGCCAACACTGAAAAAAACAATGCAAAACGCAATGGAGCAGCTCAGGGCGCGTAACTCCACTCGGCTGCCTGAGCGGAAGAAACAGCTAAATATGCATCGCGTAGAGAATACGCACCAATAACTCTACAGAACAAACACTGCGCATGGCTCGCGCGACGGGACAGTCCTGCTAGGGCCAAACCCACATCGNACAGAACAAACACTGCGCATGGCTCGCGCGACGGGACAGTCCTGCTAGGGCCAAACCCACATCGGCGCAAACAATGTCCGAATATAATCGTCTCCCCTTGCCAGATATGCTTACTAAGAGAAGGCAATGGTAAAGAGAAATTCGGTAGTGCAAGTTGTGTTCAGAAGCACTGATGAAATTTACATAGAATTTTGCACTCACAGCCGCCCATGCGCGGAATTGCATGCTGTATCATCATGTTATCTCACTGAGTAGCCATCGGATCCGAAGAATACGGACAGAGATGCGTCAGTGTTTTCCGCGTGTTCACAAGCCTCTTTAATACGGCGCAGAGTTAAGAAGAGAAATGCGTGCCTTTTCGATTTCCTGTGTAAGCCGAGCTAAGCGCTCATTCTCAGTCAGAGTCCACGCTCTCAAGGATGTCTGCAGCATCCTTTCTACGAGTTCAGGTATCTCTGCAATCGTTTTACTGTCCTTTAGCATTGCCTTGTCAGAGTCGAATCGGTTTTTCAGCTCTCGTATTTCATTCCATGCCCCTGATGAAGGGTCGAATGGATACATGAGTGCATNAATCGGTTTTTCAGCTCTCGTATTTCATTCCATGCCCCTGATGAAGGGTCGAATGGATACATGAGTGCATAGCTAAGTGTTCTTTCATACGTCTCAATTTCCTTTGACAATTCATGCAAACATTGAAATCTTAGCAACGGAAGTCCTGACTCTGCTTTCTTCGCAACCGCCGTAGTCCTAAGTTTCGTTCTCTTATCCAGTCCAGATGATCCAAATCTTTCGCTGTCTAGTTTGTACTTTTTCACCTTCCTCGCCGCTTCTACCGTCTCTTGCGCTCTCAACCAATGCTCCCTCGCCAAAGATTCAACTTTGCGCCATTGCTCGAGAAACCGTTTCTTCACAGCATCTGCGGCAACATTCTCAGCGGTCACAGCACCCTCTA